GGGTCAAAGAATGAAGAATCGGTCCTCCCCCGTGTTTTGGCGTCCAAAGTCCAACGCAGTCGAAGCTGCGGTGGTTTTTCGGAGCCAGCGGATTTCCAAGAGCGGTGAACGGCCCGACCCAAGTGCACTGGCGCAAAGCAATTCTGCTGAGCTCAAGTCGATGCGCCTTCGAGGAGTGTTTCGTGCTGCTAAGTTGCCGAGCGGACAACGCGCTATTGGTACCAAGTGGGTGTTCAAGATCAAGCGCAAAGGGGACGGATCGATCGAGAAGTACAAGGCACGCCTCGTGGCCAAGGGCTTCAAGCAAAAGTACGGCATCGACTACACTGAGACGTTCTCGCCGGTTGTCAAGTACGTGACGTTGCGCATGGTGATCGCTTTGGCCAAGTACTTTGGCTGGCCGCTAGCCTAACTAGACGTGGTGACGGCATTCCTGTACGGCGTGATGAGGGAGATCGTGTTTTGCGTGGTTCCCGAAGGTGTCGAGCTCGACGGTGACTTCGACTGCCTGGAATTGGTGAAGGCCATTTACGGTCTAAAACAAGCTTCGCGCGTGTGGAACGAGACTTTCGACGAGTTCGTATGCTCTATCGGCTTTCAAGCTTCGGCCTTTGACCCGTGCCTCTACATCAAAGTTGTTGATGGCCACTGTGTACTCATACTGGTCTACGTCGACGATGTCCTGGTCACCGGAAGCTCACCCGAGCTGATTTCACGCACGAAGGACGACCTCAAGACACGCTTCGAAATGACTGACAGCGGCAAGTGTGTGTTCGTCCTTGGGATCGAATTGGTAGACGGTCCGGACGGCAGCGTGACGATGAGCCAACGGCGTTATGTGGATGACATCCTGAAGCGCTTTGGTATGGACGAGTGCAAGGCTGTGGTAAGTCCGGTGGATATAACCACTCGACTGGCTCCAAGCGACGCGGCGACCAAGGTACAAGCTCCGTTTCGCGAAGCTGTTGGTGCACTAATGCACCTGATGACCGCGACGCGTCCAGATATTGCGTACGCGGTGGGCTATGTGTCGCGCTTCATGGAGAATCCCCAAGAAGAACACTGGGTTGCGGTCAAGCGTATCTTTCGCTACCTGCAAGGCACCAAGACGCATGGAATCTGCTACAAACCGGGTAACAACATCGACTTTCGCGGATACTCTGACGCAGACTGGGCTGGTGACCTCGCGGACCGCAAGTCGACTTCCGGCTACACGTTCATGCTGATGGGTGCGCCAGTGAGCTGGGGCAGCAAGAAGCAGTCAAGTGTTTCGCTGTCTACGAGCGAAGCGGAGTACATCGCGCTAAGTCTGGCAATTCAAGAAGGCAAGTGGATTCATCGCCTACTGTGCGAGATCTTAGCAGCTGCCAATGAGACTGGACCCGACCTCAAGATCCAAGAAGACAACCAGTCGTGCATCAAGATGACAAAGAATCCTGTCAACCACGGCCGCGCCAAGCACATCGACATCAAGTACCACCACATCCGCGATGAAGTCAAGCGTGGTGAAGTCAAGCTCGAGTATTGCGAGACTTCTGTGATGATGGCTGACATCATGACGAAGGCGCTCCCAGGGCCTCGTCACATGGACCTAGCAGCTGCTCTCGGTATCCACGCGTGTTCGCATTGAGGGGGCGTATTGAGGGTTGCTGGTCTTGGTACTGTGTACCAGTTGTACCCATTAACCGGTCAACCTGAACCGGTCCAATACGATCCCGCTGTGATTATGGTACGTTGTTTATGCCACCAATGATTGGACGAGTAGAATGATTGGATGACCTAGGTAGTGAGGACAGTGTAAGCCCCGATAAATCAATCACTTTCGAATCTTCCTTCTTCCGCTCAAGTGCCTTCACTCCGGTCTCCGCACCAAGTGCAGAAGCCACTCCGTTCAGTCCCAAGCTTCGTTCCAACACCTCTACACCGTTAGCAACCACCAGTTGGATCTAGTCGGTCCTCTAACGAGTTTAAGCCCGACGGTTCTGGTTTGACTAGTGTTGCCACTCTCGATAGGGATCCAGGCACTTTATCCAATGGAAAGCTTGGATCCACTTGTGGATCAGCGGGATCCGGCTGTTCGGCTTTAGCCCTCTGCAATCCTTCATCCACCGACCCTGCGTTATCTAAGGGCCGACTCTGGGGATCGTCCCCCGTCGTGGATCCAACCTCCATTGCTTGGATCTCAACCCGTCGATCCCTCTGCAGGATCTTTCGCGGAGTTGGATATGAAGGCCGATCCACCAAGGGGCCAGCTGGCTCCGCTGGGAGCTCCACCTCTCCAAGAGATTCGATCTCGGTAGTCGCCTCGTACACCAGATTCTGCCATTCTTTGTAGCGGCGGGACCCCACTGACACATATCCAGGTCGCCTAGGGATACCGTCCTTCGCTAACCATCGCCCGATCTTCTCATAATGGTCCAGTAATAGTCTCTTATCGCTGACGTTCGTGACCTGGAGGTATCGTGATCGACCTGGTCCCTGGATTACGGTCGGCACCCATTTCTCGCCCCGAGTGACCCACAGTTTCTCATGTTCCACCCACCTTAACCGATCTGGCAGTTCCCAGGTCTCCCCGGGCTCGATCCAGGTTGTCTTATCCGCCCTTATGATTGTG